AAGGTTACAAAACTAAGTGACACATTTGAAAGGTATACAATAATTGATAATATGTTTTTTTCATGTTTTATCAATAATTGTTGGAAAGATACCTATTATAAGGGAGGTAACTCTAACAAGCTAGAATGTATAACTGAATTGCTCTAAATAACACTATACAATGTGATATACTTTCTAAGTTCTATTGGTTGTGTAGATATTATTTCTCTAAAAGGACTGTTACTAAAATATCTAATACATAAAAATTTCTGTTAATATTTGAAAAATGTGATACAAAATTAAATATATATCTTTTTTCTGTGTTTATTTGAGACTATTATTAGCCCTTTCAACCCTATGTAACTTAAGTAGACTCTACCATGCATTGATCTGGATGAGTCCATTAAGGTCTACAGTGGTGAAAGGGTTAGTGGAAACTTAAAAGGGGGACTGTTGCTGAATTTTTATTTTCCAAGAAGAGTTATCTAAGGGGAGATAATACTGTTAAGCCTACAGCTTTCTGTAATATTACATCTGAATGCAAAGAGTTCAGAGCTTAGACACTCCTGTCTCACTGCCGGTAACAAACACTCGAGAATTCACTGTTGTCCTCCCCTTAATTACAATTCTGCTATAACTGTAGCACGACAAGACCAGGGTATTTCCGTTAATTGCCAAAGTAGCACAGTCAATATTAGAGTTATAGTGTAATGATTGAATGATCGAGGTCAAGAATTCTTATCCTTAAAACGACTGGCTTCATTCCTTTTTATACTCAAAATAATTTGTTGTAGATTTATTTTCCTTTATTTCATCTTTATTTTTTTTCATGAAAGTTCTGTAAGGTATTGATTTCTTTTCAGACACGATTTATCAAAGCTTTATAATGCTGGGGAAAGTTTCCAGTGTATGGTCGCAGTTAGCTTTAGTCCTGCTGGGGAAAGTTTCCAGTATATGGTCGCAGTCTTTGGTAGTGATACAAGGATACTTAAATTTGACAGCGGAGATTTATAGGAATGTTTATGGTGTGACCATTTGTAAATTCAGAGAAAAATTCAGTTGAAATTTGATAATGGGAAATCGTAAAGGGAATACATATGTACTTCTGCACTTACAACTGTATATCTAGAGGGCGAAACAATTTAAGAGGGACAGAATAATGAAATTTTTTGTAGACGTTTAACAAGAATATTTAGCTGCATGTTGTACGCCTCAATCAAGAGGAAAAACAACCTAGGGTGAAATGTTATTGGTACTCCTACTCAGGTGGGGGGGGGGGATCAATGATACAGAAATTGAAATTTGTATCAACAGAATGTATAGGGAAGTTAACATCTTATATCTAAATCCTTAGGGAGAAAAAGTTAGCACACTTGCTTTTCACTGAGATGACCTGGGTTCAATTCCCTGTATGGGGTCACCTGCCCGTCCTGACAGTTGGCCCCATGGCAGAGTGGAAAGCACGCTTGCTTTTCACTGAGATGACCTGGGTTCAGTTCCCTGTATGGGGTCACCTGCCCGTCCTGACAGTTGGCCCAGTGGCAGAGTGGAAAGCACACTTGCTTTTCACTGAGATGACCTGGGTTCAGTTCCCTGTATGGGGTCACCTGCCCGGCCATGTGTGTTTTCTCTGTATACTCTGGTTTTCTTCCCACATTAACTCATTCACCCCTGAAGACACATTTGAACTCTTCCCATTCAAAGGTTGGAATAGTTCATTATGAACGTTAAGGGGTGAATGAGTTAAGTCCCTCTGCAGGCTAACATATGAGCCAACAAGAGTGATTAATATAAGTTAAAATATCTTGTTTTGCAATTGTTGTAAGATGAATTAATGTTTAAACTCCTGACAGTTATTGATTATACACGTATGAGTATTTTCTATTGAAAATGTTGTACATATTTTATATAACATTTGTGCAAATCTGGCGAATCATCAGAACTTTCAGTAGGTGAAGAATCTACACAGTGACATTCGAGATGAGCTTTGTACAATAGCCATATTGGCTAGTAACTCCAAGCAATATTTGCTGAGTTTTTGTCAAAGTTGGGTTTCCATTTTTAGCTCCGACCTGGCTCAAAGGGCCAAGTGAGTTAAAGCCATGTTGCAGCGCACATCATCCATCCATTTTGTGTCAACTTTTTACTTTAAACAACCTCTTCTGAATTTTGGCAACTAGCATGCAAGGATGAAGGGCTACCAAGTTTGTTAATTGAATGACCCTTGCCCATTTTCAAGGTCACAGGGGTCAAATATGTTAAATTCTATTTAACAACTTCTTCTGAATAACCAAAAAGTCCAGGGTGTTGATATTTGGCCAGAAACATGCTGGGATGGAGGGCTACCAAGTTTGTTAAAATGAATAACCTTGACTTTTATTCAAGGTCACAGGGGTCAATTATTATAAAAAAAAGTCCAATTACTGTATTTGGGTCTGCTTTTAAGATTAATACCAGGTGAGCGATGCAGGCCCATTGGGCCATATTTGTTTGATTTTGTTGCAAAGTTTGCACAATGGGATTGTCTGAAGATTTAACAGTTACAGAGTCTGTGCAGTCTATAGTAGTATGTTGTAGTTGGTTTTCCATATATGTCCAGCAATAAGCCTATGTCTGGAAATAAGCTCACCCATATCTATTGCGGTTCGGTGGACATGTCAACAAATGATATTTCATTGTCCTGTAAGCGTAGGATTTGTAAATTAAGTAAGACTTCTATATATTTAACACCAGGTGGTGTTTGGTTACAATTATTTCATTCATGGAATATTAAAAACCCAATTGACATTGGGTTAAACCAATTATTAGATGGGTACTTGACAAGTTGTAGAAATTTAACTATAATACATGTATATCACTATGAGAACAGATTTAACTGTTATATATGTATATCACTATGAGTACAGATTTAACTATTATACATGTATATCACTATGAGACCAGATTTAACTGTTATATATTTAACACCAGGTGGGGTTTGGTTACAAATATTTCATTCATGGAATATTGAAAACCCAATTGACATTGGGTTAAACCAATTATTAGATGGGTACTTGACAAGTTGTCGAAATTTAACTATAATACATGTATGTCACTATGAGAACAGATTTAACTGTTATACATGTGTAAGGTGGTGTTTGGTTACAATTATTTCATTCATGGAATATTGAAAACCCAATTGACATTGGGTTAAACCAATTATTAGATGGGTACTTGACAGGTTGTAGAAATTTAACTATAATACATGTATATCACTATGAGACCAGATTTAACTGTTATATATGTATATCACATGAGTACAGATTTAACTATTATATATGTATATCACTATGAGTACAGGTTTAACTATTATACATGTATTTCACTATGAGTACAGATTTAGCTGTTATATATGTATATCACATGAGTACAGATTTAACTATTATAAATGTATATCACTATGAGCACAGATTTAACTGTTATACATGTGTAAGGTGGTGTTTGGTTACAATTATTTCATTCATGGAATATTAAAAACCCAATTGACATTGGGTTAAACCAATTATTAGATGGGAACTTGACAAGCTGTAGAAATTTAACTATAATCCATGTATATCACTATGAGAACAGATGTAACTGTTATATATGTATATCACTATGAGTACAGGTTTAACTATTATACATGTATCTCACTATGAGTACAGATTTAGCTGTTATATATGTATATCACTATGAGTACAGGTTTAACTATTATACATGTATTTCACTATGAGTACAGATTTAGCTGTTATATATGTATATCACATGAGTACAGATTTAACTGGTATACATGTATATCACTACGAGTACCGATTTAACTGTTATACATGTGTAAGGTGGTGTTTGGTTACAATTATTTCATTCATGGAATATTGAAAACCCAATTGACATTGGGTTAAACCAATTATTAGATGGGTACTTGACAAGTTGTCGAAATTTAACTATAATACATGTATATCACTATGAGACCAGATTTAACTGTTATATATTTAACACCAGGTGATGGTGGAGTAGGAATATTTCATTCATGGAATATTGAAAACCCAATTGACATTGGGTTAAACCACTTATTAGATGGGTACTTGACAAGTTGCAGAAATTTAACTATAATACATGTATATAACTATGAGTACAGATTTAACTATTATTCATGTATATCACTATGAATACAGATTTAACTGTTATACATGTGTAAGGTGGTGTTTGGTTACAATTATTTCATTCATGGAATATTGAAAACCCAATTGACATTGGGTTAAACCAATTATTAGATGGGAACTTGACAAGCTGTAGAAATTTAACTATAATCCATGTATATCACTATGAGAACAGATGTAACTGTTATATATGTATATCACATGAGTACAGATTTAACTGGTATAGATGTATATCACTACGTATGAGTACAGATTTAACTTTTATACATGTATATCACTATTAGTACAGATTTAACTGTTAAACATGTATATCACTATGAGGACAGATTTAACTGTTGTACATGTGTATCACTATGAGTACAGATGTAACTGTTATACATGTATATAACTATGAGTACAGATTTAACTATTATAAATGTATATCACTATGAGTACAGGTTTAACTATTATACATGTATATCACTACGTATGAGTACAGATTTAACTATTATTCATGTATATCACTATGAGTACAGATTTAACTGTTATACATGTGTATCACCTGTATATTTGTTGTAAATTTTGGAGCATTTACCTCCTGACAGAGTTCTGTACTAATCAGTGACATTTAAATCTGTATGGTGTAAATTTCCTCTCTTTGTCACCTACATATGTGTGACCTGTATATTTGTTAGTCCAACACTTTAGATTAGAATAAAAGCTTGACTGTGAATTCTGTCATTGTCGCCTGGATAAGTGACCTTTAAATCTGTTTGTTAAAAAACCTTGGAGGAGCCACTCCACAGAAGTCTTTTTTTTTTTTTTTTTTCAAAACTTCGGAGACTTTACGCTACGAGGTGAAAATCAATATAACTTCCTGTCACATGGTTGGTTTGTTTACGTTAGTGATCAGTGTCACGGTCCAGTGACACACACGTTGATTTTCTCACCTGAGACAGACTGCCATTGTTTATATATACCATAGCAGGACTTAAGTGTGGTACATACCTAGTCTTCCGTTACCTGTGACCAGAAACAATAACTTGACAAAGTCTTAAAACATTTAATGTACTTTGTGGTGTCCAGGCACATAATGATAGCTGCCAAGCTACTTAGAGAAATTTAGGGAATTTTCACCTGCCCTGAAATAGGTGTATACATGATTATTGGATTCCGATTTCAGACAGGTGATACAGGGAAGTCTTTAACATTATCGAAGGATTATACCTGCCAAGGTAAACGCCATCCAGAGTATTACAGATGTACTTGTAATAGCAGACAATCTAATATGGATTTTACTACCAGTGTTCCTAGTTTGTTTTGTTTGTAAGTCTGTGAAGGCCGTACTGGAAATTCCTTTTCGACCTAACGACAGGAATGCAGGTAAATCTAGCAGTAACGACAGGCAACAGGTGTGAAAAATCTTGTTAAAAGATAGTTATTGTTTACTATGGTGGAGCTGAGTTTGTATTGATATACTATAATAACTCAAATGAGTGGAATATTGACATGTTTGTACGAAGAACTCAGAGGAATGGAATTTTGACAAGTTTATGTTGTTCAAGGTTTCAACGACTGCAGAAATATTAAGAAATAACTCAGAATTCGCTGCCGTTAGTGACACACTCTTCAAGTATAGGAGTCATTTACACCAACGTCTTGTTCATTACAAGGAGTTAATGTTGATCCACGACTTCCCACTGTAACATGCTATCTTGGAAACATAACTTGGACGTTTTAATCATTCTGACACGTCCTGTCATTTGTGGAATTAAACACTTGAAATATCAAGTAAAGGACTCTTGAAATATCAAGTAAAGGACTTTTTGTCAATACAATAGCTGTGGAGGAAAGAAAAACAATCGAGTGAAAAAAAGAAATTTAAAACCTGGATAAATTTATTAATTTTTGTGGTACATATCGTCAGATTGTAAACAAAGCAACAGAAATAATTGACATCCAGATCGAACATGTCTATTGCACATGGCGATTTCTGGATCTTATGCACACATAGTTCATGAACGACAGCTGTTTAACCAAAGCCTATCGGGGCCCTACCTACTGTAAAGCATGTGGAATAACGAGTATCACTACGTATGTTATCAGGCTAAACAACATTTTAAATGCCATTGACTTTGGTGTAGAGAATAAAAAGGAAGGAGTTCTTTTCCCTACAAGAAGAAGTGTTATTCGAAATACCTGATTTCCTGTTTCTCGCTGTCAAAACACAGGGAACAGGTTTTTTTGTGTATAAATATGTAATGAGAGTGCTCTTTACCTTTCATGAGTGTCAAGAAAGACTTACGGATTCAAGTTATGTTCATTTCAGACGTCAAATTATAATTAGAGGCTTTCACCTGAAGAGAGTTGTCCTCGATGTGTTAATTAGATGACTAATATAGGAAATCTCATTAATTACTACCATTTCTAAAAACCTTACGTTCAAGGTCAGTGGAATATTTCTTACATTAATGGAATCTTAACACTATAATCATTAAGGCTATATCTACATAGAAATCGACTGTGTTTACCTGTACAAACTTACCTGGATTGATTTAACTGTAGATACAGGTGTGACATTTCGCAGAATCATTTTGGGGCGTCATCAGTATTTCATTGAAAATCATTCATGTGTTGGATTTAATTGGACGGTCAGGTGTATTTAGTGATACAAAGCTTTATTTGTTAGCTTGTATGGAACCTCATTTTTCAATTTATATATTAATTAGAATTCCATCAAGCAGAGCCTTCAGCCTTGGAGATACCAGGATGTGAATGGTGCGGGCATGTGACTTTGAAAGTGACAATATTGACAGAAGAAATTTGAAGTTTATGAAGAAGTTGAAGCTGGTGGCTTGGAATTTTATCACAAAATTATCATTACAGCAGTAGCTAATACTGCAGGAAATTGAACTTCCGCAAATCATAACATCAAATTGAGATAAGTTTTATCATACAAGAGGCGATACCCCGTAAAACAGTGTTCTAGAAAAAAAAAGATCAATTTGAGGAATTTTATACCGTAACACTATCCAATTTGATTTCACACGAGAAAGTTGATCACATGGGATTTTAATTATCGGAAAAAGGGATTTGTCAATTTATCATTTATGATCGTGTTAGTTACAGTGTTATTTTGATTGACAAAATGTCTGATTACACCGTCGATATAATGGGTTGATTGTCATCATACTCAAACATTGATGTGTAAAGTGAGGATATCGATAGTAAATACTGAAAAAAAAAAAAAAATGTATTTACACCAGATCAAGTTTTGAAAATTAAGGAAATTTTTCATCATACAACTGTGCAGCTCGTCGGGAATGATATTACAGAGATTGACATCTTAAACATGTCAATATCAAGAAAATTCCTTTGGGATAAAGCATGAAGTTCTGAAATAAGGAAAAGATATTCAACATGTACAAGTGGAGAAAAAACATGTGGCAAAGACAGGTGAAGATGTCATAAAAATTCTGAAGGATTAATAGTAGATATTTTGTAGTTTCAAGTTAAGAAACAAGGAGAAATTTACCCTGTACAAGTGGAGATATATATGTACATGTATTACATACATATGTGTATATATATATACTGTACTACACCGTCAGGTATCTAAATACTTTGCAGATGTCATAAAAATTCCTACAGACTAAATGAAGGGTGGTCTGCCCAGTGGTGTGAAGTGTACTTAATCTAACTGTTTATATTACACACTACGAACACACTGTGTTGATAACCGTGGGTCGAGAGACCAGGCTCGGAACATGGCAGGGCCTTCACTTTTTAAAGATCCATGCCTGGCTACAGAGTTATGAAGCTATCTGATATGAGAAATTTGCCACTGGGACCTTAGCACTGACCAACCGACAGCCATGTACAGGGCGTATCTACTGTAAGTCTGCTGCAATATTTGTAATTAACATGTGAATTATTGATACATTTAGATGAGATAGTTATTGATCTCATTTTTTGCTTGCAGTCAATTTATAGTAACAATTAAGTGGAATTGATATTGTCGTATTGTTGTTTTAAGTCATTTTGCATTTAATCCAGTCACCAATCATGTCACATTAGAAGAATAATTCAAAGAATGGTTGTACAATAGGCCAATATAGCCCCGAAACTTGTTACTGTCTGTAGAACAGGGTCTATTAGAGTTAAACATGATGTCTCTTCGGCAGTTCAAGTTGTGAGTTTGGCTCAAATTACATGTCTGACACATCGCAGCTGTGCCCTAACTTGCTGACCTGACAACATGTCACACACATGGCAGTGTCCTAACATGCTGACCTGACAACATGTCACACACATGGCAGGGCCCTAACTTGCTGACCTAACAACATGTCACACTCATGGCAGTGCCCTAACTTGCTGACCTAACATCATGTCACACACATGGCAGTGCCCTAACTTGCTGACTTCACAACATGTCACACCCATGGCAGTGCCCTAACTTGCTGACCTGACACCATGTCAGACACATGGCAGTGCCCTAACTTGCTGACTTGACAGCATGTCACACACATGGCAGTGCCCTAACTTGCTGACTTGACAACATGTCACACACATGGCAGTGCCCTGACTTGCTGACCTGACAACATGTCACACACATGGCAGGGCCCTAACTTGCTGACCTGACAACATGTCACACACACGGCAGTGCCCTAACTTGCTGACCTGACAACATGTCGGACACATGACAGTGCCCTAACTTGCTGACATGACAACATGTCACACACATGGCAGTGCCCTAACCTGCTGACCTAACAACATGTCAGACACATGGCAGTGCCCTAACATGCTGACCTGACAACATGTCACACACATGGCAGTGTCCTAACATGCTGACCTGACAACATGTCACACACATGGCAGGGCCCTAACTTGCTGACCTAACAACATGTCAGACACATGGCTGTGCCCTAACTTGCTGACCTGACAACATGTCAGACACATAGCAGTGCCCTAACTTGCTGACCTGACAACATGTCAGACACATAGCAGTGCCCTAACTTGCTGACCTGACAACATGTCAAACACATGGCAGTGCCCTAACTTGCTGACCTAACAACATGGCAGACACATGGCAGTGCCCTAACTTGCTGACCTAACAACATGTCACACTCATGGCAGTGCCCTAACTTGCTGACCTAACAACATATCAGACACATGGCAGTGCCCTAACTTGCTGACCGGACAACATGTCACACACATGGCAGTGCCCTAACCTGCTGACCTAACAACATGTCAGACACATGGCTGTGCCCTAACTTGCTGACCTGACAACATGTCGGACACATGACAGTGCCCTAACTTGCTGACATGACAACATGTCACACACATGGCAGTGCCCTGACTTGCTGACCTGACAACATGTCACACACATGGCAGGGCCCTAACTTGCTGACCTAACAACATGTCACACTCATGGCAGTGCCCTAACTTGCTGACCTAACATCATGTCAGACACATGGCAGTGCCCTAACTTGCTGACCTAACATCATGTCACACACATGGCAGTGCCCTAACATGCTGACCTAACAACATGTCACACACATGGCAGGGCCCTAACTTGCTGACCTGACAACATGTCACACATGGCAGTGCCCTAACTTGCTGACCTAACAACATGGCAGACACATGGCAGTGCCCTAACTTGCTGACTTGACAGCATGTCACACACATGGCAGTGCCCTAACTTGCTGACTTCACAACATGTCACACCCATGGCAGTGCCCTAACTTGCTGACCTGACACCATGTCAGACACATGGCAGTGCCCTAACTTGCTGACTTGACAGCATGTCACACACATGGCAGTGCCCTAACTTGCTCACCTGACAACATGTCAGACACATGGCAGTGCCCTAAATTGCTGACCTGACAACATGTCAGACACATGGCAGTGCCCTAACATGCTGACCTGACAAAGTTTTAGTTAGTTTGTCTTTAGCTCAATTGGCCGAACACTCTGTAGTCTCTGGTTTAAATCCTTCTGTTGAGTGACCACCATTATATTGGTGCCCATTATGGAACCTTGATGGTGTACTTTGTAACTACATGTGTATGATAAATATTTATTCAAACTCTATCCAGGGTCAGATTAGACAGGATGTCAGAAAAAATTAGACAGGATGTCAGAATACACATTGTCATATTAGACATGAAGTCTGAATACACAAGGTCAGATTAGACAGGATGTCAGAATATACATGGTCATATAAGACAGGATGTCAGAATACACAGGGTCATATTAGACAGGATGTCAAAATACACATGTCCATATAAGACAGGATGTCATACTACACAGGGTCAGATTAGACAGGATGACAGAATACACATGGTCCGATTAGGTAGCATGTCAGAATACACATGGGTCAGATTAGACAGGATAACAAAATACCCAGGGTCAGATTAGACAGGATATCAGAATACATTAGAATAGAAAGATGATAGGTATATAAATATCTCAGCTATTTACATTTCATTTCAAACCTGTCATTCATCATCAGTCATATATGCACAAGAATTTTGTTTAAACAGTGACTTGATTGAGCATGTTTCTGACAGAGATCATCAGAATGTTTGTATGATATGATCTATATGCTGGAAATCTCATAAACGTTTGGGACTTTTTTTGAAAGATATCGCTACTGCATAGTTTATATCCCTAAGATCTAGACTGGGTTTGTCGTGGATTATAAGGAATGTCGTTTTAAACTCACGGCATGTATTTGGGGGTTCTGGGTAGGAATCCTGGTCTGAAATGTTAACCTTACGGCATGTATTTGGGGGTTCTGGGGAGGAATCCTGGTCTGAAATGTTAAACTCACGGCATTTATTTGGGGGTTCTGGGTAGGAATCCTGGTCTGACATGTAAACTAACGGCAAGTATTTGAGGGTTCTTGGTAGGAATCCTGGTCTGACATGTAAACTAACGGCAAGTATTTGAGGGTTCTTGGTAGGAATCCTGGTCTGACATGTAAACTAACGGCAAGTATTTGAGGGTTCTTGGTAGGAATCCTGGTCTGACATGTAACCTCACGGCATGTATTTGGGGGTTCGGGGTAGGAATCCTGGTCGGACATGTAAACTCACGGCATGTATTTGAGGGTTCTGGGTAGGAATCCTGGTCTGAAATGTAAACTCACGGCATGTATTTGGGGGTTCAGGGTAGGAATCCTGGTCTGACATGTTGAACTCACGGCATGTATTTGGGGGTTCTAGGTAGGAATCCTGGTCTGACATGTTGAACTCACGGCATGTATTTGGGGGTTCTGGGTAGGAATCCTGGTTTGACATGTAAACTCACGGCATGTATTTGAGGGTTCTGGGTAGGAATCCTGGTCTGACATGTAAACTCCCGGCATGGATTTGGGGGTTCTGGGTAGGAATCCCGGTCTGACATGTAAACTCACGGCATGGATTTGGGGGTTCTGGGTAGGAATCCTGGTCTGGCATGTTAAACTCACGGCATGTATTTGTGGGTTCTGGGTAGGAATCCTGGTCTGAAATGTTAACCTTACGGCATGTATTTGGGGGTTCTGGGGAGGAATCCTGGTCTGAAATGTTAAACTCCCGGCATGTATTTGGGGGTTCTGGGTAGAAATCCTGGTCTGACATGTAAACTCATGGCATGTATTTGGGGGTTCTGGGTAGTAATCCGGTTCTGACATGTAAACTCACGGCATGTATTTGGGGGTTCTGGGGAGGAATCCTGGTCTGAAATGTTAAACTCCCGGCATGTATTTGGGGGTTCTGGGTAGAAATCCTGGTCTGACATGTAAACTCATGGCATGTATTTGGGGGTTCTGGGTAGGAATCCTGGTCTGACATGTAGCATTGTCTCCATATACTTTCAATTTGTTTTCTCTGATCAGTTCGTACTTAACCGATTTAATTAACTTCAGCTTGATTACTATAATGTGATATCAAAATCATGTTCCTTGAGAAGGAAAGAATGAACAACATGGGGAAGATCAATTGTAGTCTGAGGGTCTGAAACGGTCAATTGTAGTCTGAGGGTCTGAAACGGTCAATTGTAGTCTGAGGGTCTGAAACGGTCAATACTTCTGGTCCCCAGGTGGCTTAGTTGGTTAAGTGCCCATCCCGAGTTTCAAGGTTTGGGGTTTAAACCATGGTCAGATTGTTTTTTCTCCATCTTGTGTTATACAAAAAAGAATTTGTACAGAATATTAACTTACCCCAAGAAGCCCAGGGGGGTCAACACATTATCTCTGACTGAAAGTAGGAGGGTGGGCTTATTACAGGACAACGAAACGATTTTGTTGGCATTTCTTCCGAACTGAAATACATTTTGGTGAGCTTGTTAATTACAAAGCATGGGTTTATTGCTGAATAAATGCGGTAATTGCCTTATTTTTTTTTAGATCACTCAAAGTTTCATTTTATATAAATATAATCATAATTATCAGAAGTTTAAATTCAGTCAATCACTAAACGAAAATGGTCTTAAGTTCTGGCTCCAGAATTTAACATGTTTAAATTGATTTGGCAGCAGATGATAGTCGGAGGACTATTGTTGAGTGCATGTATATATATATGTGAACTGACTCGTTAAACAAACGACAGGAGAGTCAAAGTAAAAACACCTTTCTTCATTATTTACATGTTTCTAAATATACAGTATGGTAATTCGCTGCCAGGTCTGTGAGGGCCATACACATGTACTGTAATGATTGCTGTCTGCTTGTAGCCGAGGCCACATGTCAAAATGTACCTTCACATGGTTCACCGTACTGAAACAAATAGCTCAATGTTTGTTCAAGTTTGTACATAGTTACTTGTGTAACAGAAGTTGTGTCTGTATTTCATATTGAGCTGTTTCCATCAGATTGTAGCTGTACTTGTAAGGGACTTTGTTTCTTCAAAA